TAGACTAGCCTTCTGCATAGATGCTAAAATGATTTAAAGTGGGTCATTCTTGTCATTGTCCCATTAGTTCACTAACAATGTGGCATACATCATAGTATTCGCACACGTTTTAACACTGCTTACCACAGGGTAGATAATAGGCCTGCTGTTAATTGTCTTCAGCCAGATGTACTGTGATCCCCAAATAAACAAACTGTTCGCAAAATGAGGCTTTCTCTACATTCTTAATTTATGCCATGGAGGCCAGGTTATGTTATCAAAAGTTTTCTTTATCTCTGGTTATTTTCAATAAAATTTATAATGCCTAAGCATCAGTAATAAAAAATTTATTTTTTAAACTTTTTTTAATAACAAAACTTTCCAGTTCACTATGGAGTCTAAACTCAGATCCTGTCTAATCCTAATTTAAAACTCGGTTGATGGTAAATCATTCCATGTCTAACTTCAGTTTTACTTCACAGGACAGTAAAAAACAGCTTACATTTTCAATCACTTATGCTTCTATTCTACTTTTGTTAGTAAGAGTCTTAGGTACTATTTGAAGTACTTCCTCAAACACTGATCTGTACAAAATTATAAGTGAAAAGGCAGAATAAAAGCCATATATATTACCTACCTTACAAAATGCTTGGTCAAAATCTGATTATAACCTGATTTTAATAAGCCACTTTTCTTGTCCTGAAGCACAGCTTCCACGTAATTTAAAGCAGGAGCGACTTGGAGAATATGAACCTTAAAGTAAATCTGCAGTAAAAAAGGATCCGTACAGCTAGCTTTCCACTTTTCAAACCAAACCACAGATGACACATTTCCTTTCTGCTGCAAGTAAAGCACTTGTCACAGAGGAGAAAAAAAAAAAGAAAGAAAAAATCCAATGTGCCTAGCTGGCCACTGTCATGACAGGAGGCTTTGTAGAACAAATCCCCGCCTCCAGGAGGGGAGGGCTTTCCGCTTAATGCCTTCTGACCTTAGGCTCCTTATGTATGCCTGCTGTATGCTTTTGATTGATAAGTTAGTGTCATTCAAAAGAAGATGAAGTGGCGTTTTCCCTGCAGCATTAAAACCTCTAAAAATTGTATTTGTATACCACAGACTGATTGGATAACATGAGTTTGGAGACCTGGAGTATTGGTCAGATAATAGAAACAGTGACATATGTAATCCACATCTCAAGTTGTGGAACTGCAAAGATTCGAGAAAGTATGTCGTAAATTTAGGTTATATAGAACAGAATATGCTTTTGTGTAGTTTAGTTTTCTCTCTCTCCCTCTCTCTCTCTCTCTCCCTCTCCCCCTCCCCCCACCCTTGAATGTCCTGTCATCACCTCATATTCATTGTCTTAAAATGGACATTGTATTAAAATAGACATTTTTCTTTCAAAAAGTGGCTGGCCCCCATGATCCCTGTTTTTGTTCATGATAGCCACTTTCTTCATCTCAGAGGCTTGCTATACAGCAAGCCCTTTTCATTCAAGTCCTTCCTTACAGCCCTGATCAGACCTTGGGTCGTGTTGATCCTTTCTTCATACACTTGGATAGGCTTCTTTTTGACTGTCACCTATTTTTGCTGTCACCATAGTACAGTCTTGCGCCACATGACGACATTTCGGTCAGTGACAGATGGCATGTACAACTGTGGTCCCACAAGAGTATGCAATGGAGCTGAAAAATTCCTATCGCCTAGCAGCCGTGGTAACATCATAGCACAACGCATTACTCACGTGTGCGTGGTGATGCTGGTGTAAACAAACCTCCTGCACTGCCAGTCATATGAAAGTATAGTATTAATACAATACGGTTACAGTAGGTTTGTGTAAGCACACTCTGTGATGTCTGCACAATAAAATCGCCTGACAACACATTTCTCAGGACATATCCCTACATCTGTAAGTGGCGCATGACTGTATTTTAGATCCTTGTTAGGCCATACCTAGGGTACAATATCTTTTTTACCATTATAGCCCCAACTCCTTTATGTATCTTGTGTATATCACGTCCTTTGATCATATTACCCCTTTCTTTGAAAAAAATAAAGTCGAGTAACTCTTTAACATTTACATCAGTGAGTCAGAGATATTTGTGCACATAAACACCAGATAAGAAGGTTAAAAACAATGTTTGGTGTAAAAACAATGAAAACTGCCAGGCCCCACTGCATAGATTTATATGTACTTGTGGGTCTGGGCTGGGACCCGGAAACTGCATTTTTTATCAAGCGCCACAGCTGGTGCTGGTGCTGGTGCTGGTGCTGCCACCACCTGGAGCATCCTCGCAGGAATACCGAGCCTAGGAGAACGCCTGAGCCCCTTTTGTTGAACAGTTTTAGTCCCTTCGCAAATTAGCTATTGGGTATTTTCCCAGCTTTCTCTCTTAAAACATCTCTACGTGGCTTCTCCATTCCAGCTACACTAGCGGACCGTTACCTCAACACCTCTAGTGCCTATTTCGTTTCCTCTTGACCTCTCTCTCTCCAGGAGGCCTGCTAAGCCTCCTCTTGTTGAGTTTGAAATTCCTCCTGCCCACTTCAGCCACTGTGTTCTTCTGAGTAGCTTTCACTGTCTGCCCGGTTTAATATGAACTTAATAATATTTTTCCCTGCCGTTCCTTTGATAGGTAATTATATACTACCTCATATCTTTTCTTTGATCTTGCAGTCTTTTTCTTTTATCTTAAACTCATTTAACTTGTCATATTTTTATCGTATTTCCTCTCAACAATATTAAAAACTCTGAGGGGAGGATGATTTATCTTAGTCTTCATTGTAGTACCACAGCCATCAGGTATGGAACACTGGGCCAAAGTTCATACAGGTTGTTTTGGTTTGAGATTCTAGTACTGCATTCTTCAGGGCTTTCTGATGGTCCTTACCTTGGCTGCCCACATTGATTAGCATTTTTTTCAGAGTAAGCAACATATGGCCTAACATGGCTTAATCATAAAATGGAATTTATTGGCGCTCACAACTGAACGGTCCAGGGATCAATTTGATCCCAGGAGAGGCTTTATCTAGGACTCAAGTGCAATGGCCAGGGCCCCAGTTTCTTTCTTCATTTCTCTCCTCCGTATCTTTAGTTTTCAGGCAGAGTTTACCTTCATGTATCAAGATAAGAGCTAACAACTCCCAGGGTTATGTGTTCCCTTGTTTATAAACATCAGGAAAGAAAAGTTCTCAATTCCCAACAGGTTAAGCTACAGTCTCTGATTTGGGCCTGTTGGGCCCTGCTTGTCCTGATTTGAACCATGTGATCACTGCTGAACCTTTCTCTCTGGTCAAGGTGGGCTGAATAAATTCACTAAAGCCGTTCATTTCCCTTCAGGGCTCCAGGTGGGTCATTGCCACCCAAACTGTTCCCCTGGGAAGTTCGGTGGGCCTGGAGGCAACCAACCCATGTCCACTGCCTTCCTCCTTGATTGACTGTTAGGGGGCAAGTTTGTTGTTGCTGGTGTTGCTCAAAGTTTTTGAACTGGAGATTTGTCCCTTCCATTTGACTTCAGCCTTGTTTCTCAATGTCTAAAGAAAAACTGATTTAAAAAATGGGTCCAGACTTTGTGTAATTGTTTAGTATTACTGTTTTCTCTAGAAAGCTAATCAGAAAATAAAGTAATAAAATAGATAAGTAGCATCTGTATATTTAGTCAGAACTCTGTTCAGACAATCTGCGTCCTTTTTATGTCACCTTCCTTAGGTTCAAAACTGGTCAAATCAACGGAGATTTACTAATATATCACGTCTTGCTGACCTTAAAGCCATATTATGCGAAGCCATATGAAATCGTAGTGGACCTTACCCATACGGGGCCTAGCAATCGCTTTAAAACGGACTTTCTCTCCAAGTGGTTCGTTGTTTTTCCCGGATTTGCTTACGACAATGTCTCTGCCGTCTACATCTATAACTGTAACTCCTGGGTCAGGGAGTACACCAAGTATCATGAGCGGCTGCTGACTGGCCTCAAAGGCAGCAAAAGGCTCATTTTCATAGACTGTCCCGGGAAACTGGCCGAGCACATAGAGCATGAACAGCAGAAACTACCCGCCGCCACCTTGGCGTTGGAAGAGGACCTGAAGGTTTTCCACAATGCCCTCAAGCTCGCTCACAAAGACACCAAGGTTTCTATTAAAGTAAGTGTCGCTGTGTTGGGTAAGTGATTCACTGCCTTTCTTGACTAAGCAGACCGCATGCTGGCCTTCCTAGGTGTCTCTGTTGTAGTGTATCAAATGTAAAGTAGGTCCAGATGGAGGAAAACTAAGCTTTCTATCTTCATGGCGGTCCTGCGGATGATAGGAGAGGTGTACACTTAGTTATATTCTGGGTTGGGTTGGAGGCAGCAGAGTTTTGTAGAGGGGGCAGTTTGCTATATGTCAGTCAAATGGCAGGGATGTGTGGAAAGTGGAAATTATCTGGAGAGAATTCTTCTGATTATTACACACATTTTACAGAGTGAGGAACATGAACCTTCAGAATAAAATCAGTAATTTTCTATAGGATTCTTAACCTGTTTTAAAAACAAATTTTTTTTCTGATGTTTTCAGTCTCTTTTGAGAGCATGTATCATAATAATTATGGAACCCCTTTGAATAGGTAATGATGGTAACTCTTCCTTAAGTGGCAAACATAGTATTTTCATTGGTGGTTGGTTGGTTTGGGGGGCCTCTTCAAAGTCAACGTAATGGAATTTAATTCTCCTTTACTCTCCCCTCTCACCACCACTTTCCAGGTTGGTTCTACTGCTGTTCAGGTAACCTCAGCAGAGCGAACAAAAGTCCTCGGGCAGTCAGTCTTTCTAAATGATATCTATTATGCTTCGGAAATTGAAGAGATCTGCCTAGTGGATGAGAACCAGTTCACCTTAACCATTGCAAACCAGGGCACACCGCTTACCTTCATGCACCAGGAGTGCGATGCTATTGTCCAGTCTATCATTCACATCCGGACGCGCTGGGAGCTGTCGCAGCCTGACTCCATCCCCCAGCACACCAAGATTCGGCCAAAAGATGTCCCTGGGACACTGCTCAATATCGCATTACTTAATTTAGGCAGTTCAGACCCTAGTTTACGGTAGGTTGTGTTTTTTGTTTGTTTGTTTTGTTTTTAATTCACTTCGACTTTATTCAGGGTTTATTGCTTTTAAAGTGAGACCACTTAATAAGCTTTTAAAGCAGCCTCTACCCTAATACTGTAAATTGGAAGGTTTGCTATGTTGGTTAACCAGGATGACTGACCTCATCAAGTTGTGGAGTATTCACATGAACTGTGGAATTCAGAATAGGGTGATTCACACTAAACCAATATATGTCCTTTCTCCAGGAAACTTTCGTAAGAAACAGACAGCATAGCAGTTTGGGGTGGTTGTTTTTTTCAAAAAAGTGTCTTTTTTTTTTTTGTCTTTTTTTTTAAGTCTACTCCTAAATCAAGTTTCCCCTCCTCTGAGTCCTCTAATTAAGTTTTCCGGTGTTCAGAAGTATATCGCTATTAAGTTTCCTCACAGTCAAATTAGATTATTATTGTTTGACAAAGGAAGGCTTAATGTTCAATAACTCAAACAATAACATTACTGCATACTTTCCATCTATGTGACTTTAACAAAATTCTTGAAAGAAAGCTTAGAATAAATAGTGTCATCTGAGCAGAGTGTAATTGGTTCTGTTTAGGCTTAATAATCTGAACACGAATGAGGAAAGAAAATGGCCTGTGGAGTCAGTAGATTTGGTTTAAATCCAGATCTGCTATTATGCATGACTTGACACAAGGTACTGGAGTTCTCTGAGCTCTAGTTTCCTCATTTTTAAAATAAAGGTGACAACGCCATCCTTATATACTTAGAAATGTTTAATAAATAGTATATGTGGTACTGTAGCATAGCACCTAGCAAATAGCTTGTGCTTAGTAAATAGTATTTCCTCCCAGCGTCCCCCGCCCAAGTCTCTTTGCACGCCTTCCCTCTTTTCCTCCTCTCCATTTCATGTTAGGATAATTTTATGTCCTGGGTGCTGTCAAGGTATTTTACAGATAGAAATTTGTAGCTTCAGAAAATCTTCCCTAGGATATAATGTAGCCCGGGTTTTAAAAGTGGGCCTTTTAACATCCCAGATTCTCCCTTATTTAAAAGGGAGAAAAAAAAAATCAACCAGATTTCTTTACCTGGATGGGTTTCATGGGGTCCATGAACTCTCAAAAATTATACGCAGAATTTTGTTTGTGCTTAGCTTTTATTACCTCAGAGGAGTCTGTGATACCTAACCCCCAATTTGAGGAAACATCACTTCTTTATAGCTTTTGCAATATACAGAGTAAAATGTCAAAATAGTATAACTCATAATTCCTAGGAGTTATTTAGAGATACATAAACTTGGAAACAATAATATGAATATTCTTATTTTAGGAAAATGGAGCTATAAGCCCGCCTTTAATTTGTAATTCAGAGTTCTTCCTACAAGAATGCTAATAACAATCTTCTAAAAATTATTAGCTTGAATAAACCTGTATTCTTCCCTTGTGAAATAAAGCAAGCTGACAGCCTCTGCTGTTTGCTGAAGCATATCGTGCCAGAGAAAAAGCCTTTTGGCAGACTTAAATTCAGTGGCTTTGTTCTCCCTATATGTCTGTAGCATAAATATACTAGCCTGATGAAAGTTCAGAGGTAAGGAAAACCTGAAATTTACTGAGCAG